TGTATATGATGTCATAGATGAGGATGAATAAAAAAGAATAATAATAGTAAATATGGGGGCAACAGTTCATAATATAGTTCATAATATAGTAGACTTCATAAAGCAGAATTCATAATGTATGTATTCACCTAGATACAGTTTAGGTAAAGGGAACCTGTACTGCTACAAAGTTCAATGGGGTCTCCAAGCCAGCTTGTTTGGAGCCCATGCCCTCTTAAACATCGCTGAAGTTTGGTGATTGGCTGCTGGCATCTAGTACAGTGGGAAGAGGAAGACAAGAAGTATTTACATTGACCCATTAGATAGGTGCACTTGGGCAACTGTGAAGATAATGAAAAGTGAGTATAAGCAAGGGCTGAAGGTGATTATATAGTTGATCTGTTACTTTGCCCTTAATTGACAAAATACAGATTCCCATTTAGATTTGAAAATGTTTGAAGAAAACCTGACATACTACAGAATGTATTTTCATAACACAAGCCCGTGACATACCAACTAAAAATTGCCTGCATATACCTAATTCCTAGATACACATTTTCTGTGTATCTAAGGAATTAAACTACCTGAGGTCCTTGAACTCAATTTGAAGTCAGAGTTTTGACCCACACCCATAGGCAGCTATCAATGCAGTATGAACGTTAGAAGCTCTAGAAGAGTCAACTTTTGTATGATGTTTTATCTTAGTGCCTTGATTTAGATAAATAATTTTATAGCATGAGAGGTTTACTTGAAAGCACATGTTGTACTGCAATGCAATATCCATTTATACTGTCTGGGTTTTCTCCTCTGTAAAAATTTCCAGCAGATAATATGTACAAATGTAGCTGTAAAGAAAAAAGTTAGATTTATACTTACCTTACCCCTGTCTTCTTCATCGCTGGTCATTACATCACGGAGCAAGCCATATCTCTTGAAAAGACACTCCAGACAATTGAAAAAGTGTCTTCTCACAAGATATGGGTTTGATGTCACCCTTGCCTAGACACCATACGTGGAAGACAGGTGGTGGGGTAGTATATAATCTTTTTTTTGTACACCCACCTTTTGGGCATACTATCTTTAGCAATTTTTACAGGGGGAGGGGCCCCAGACCTCATAAACATATCCTGCATTTTTACAGCAAGCTCTACTTTATGGTTTTACAAACTAAAATTTACACATCTTTGAAGTAATATTACTAATTGTATCATTGAGAAGACAGATAATATGTAATGTGGCTTGTTAGACTAGTTATATTTTTTATCTTTTTTTTTTAGAAGTAAGGAAGCAAAATGTATTGAGCAAAAACACAACACCCGAACTGTATGCAAATTAATTATATTTTCTGTGAACAGGATATTGCAGACTAAGCTTGAAATAAAATATATTTGTGTATGGCATTTTCACATCATTCAGTAAATGTTCTGTAGGTCCTGTGCGTTGAAAAGTTTCTTGTCTTTTCTGTTATACAACTACCAAGCAACAATTCCTGTGAATGTTTAAAGGTTGTCTGCTATGAGTACAAATATTTTGGTTGTTGTTTTGTATATCGTGTCTTTAAATGTAACAATGATATAGAGTTTGTAGCTTGTTGGAATCAATTTGATCTTGGGAGTGCATTTGCTTATGTAGATTTGAACATAGAAAAGACACAACACTTAGGTGACATGTATCAGTATATTTCTAAACATGATTTATCAGTCAGGTATCAGTGAATCTGTGGCCAAACTATGCAAGCTAAAGTGTTTATATATGCTGAACAAGCAGTAAAAGCATTTTAAGCCCCTATTCACCTCCGTGCAGTAGGCATTGTGGAGAAATTCATTTTAAGGGTCAATGCTAGCAGTAGAAAAAACAATATAGAGCATTTTTGTACAGGAGTTTAGGAGCTTCTAGAAGAGTTTAGGAGCATTCAGTGTTTTTGTCTGTTGGAAAACTGTTCTAAACAATGCAAACTAGAAGGGTATTTTTTCTGCCTAAATACTGAGCTTAAAATATGTCTCTAAATGTCCTAATGTGCATGGACATATAGGTAACACTGAGCTGCATCTACAGGCAAAACGGTAAACTCCTGTAAAAGCAGTGTTTTTTAAGCCAGTGTCCATGGACCCTCAAGGTTAACAACAGGGGCACTGAAATCTCATCTTCTTTCCTCTTTACTGACTACAGAGAGCAAAGTCTTGGCACCTTGCCGGCCCCCTAATGTAAACACACAACCATTAGAAATTGACTGAAATCCAATTTCAGTTCTCATGCACACTGGACGTTTTTACAGCTGCTTTTTTTGGCTTCTGGTATATTTTTCTACAGCCAGTAAACTCCCCAGCACATTATCCTATGCGTCCATGCACACATAGGCTGTAATTGGCGTTTTTTGACAGGGGCATTTTTGGGCTGGAAAAACCCCCCAAAACTAGTGGGTTTCTAGAGGAGTTTTTTAACTATAAAAATGCCCTAACGCTGAAAATGCAGCAAAATGTGGTGAAATATGGTAAACACGGTAAAACATAGTAAACCAGTGTTTTTGGACTGTTTTTAAGCAAAACAAAAGTTTAAAAAATTCTAAAAACACAAACATGGAAAAACGCAGTTTTTTAACATGACTTTACACATCGAATGCTGCCAATGTTATTAAATCGCCCAGTATGCATGGAGCCTTACAGTCTTTGTTTTGATCATTCAGTAATTTTTACTGCTTGTTAAGAATATGTGAATACTTATGTGTTCATAGTATGGGCACAGATGCACTTTTTATCTTGTACTAATCTTTAATAAAAGTTGGCCAAGCTGACAGATGTGTCTGGTTACAGTGTTTTTTTGATCAGTTGCTTGGTTTGCACGGGTAGAGCACAGGCCAGCATACATGGAATTCTTTGTTTAAAAAACAGTAATAAAAATAGAAATTAAATAGACGTTATTTTTTTAACCTTTATAAATGTATTTTTTACAATATCAGAACATTCAGTGGCACAACCAGCACTGACATACATTTTATCCAGCACTTATATCTGAGGTCCTCTGCCCGCAAAATGTACATTCAAATGTTAAACAGGTTCGCTGGCAGCCTTTCTAAATTCTTGCAAAGAACCTTGTTTGCCAAACTGCATAACACATTTATATTTAGAATACTGAGAGAAATCTAAAATGTTATTGTTAAATGGCAGTTTTAGAAAAGATTTTGTATATACCTTGAATACATCTTTGCTAAATATAGTTATTAACTGACTCCCTGTGATTCAGTGACCATGTTCATGTTTGGGATATGAATCAGTACTATGCAAATACATTTTTAAGAACAGGATTTGAAATTCCTTCTTGAACAAAACCAGCAGATTTCTTTAAGTGAATTAAATCAGAATTATTTTAAATCTGCTTAGATGTAGTAGGAATCCAGTGTTTTGGAATGTTGTATCATGACTGAGATGGTCAACGTTTCTGGAAAATGTTTAGTTTTGGGTTTATGAGTGTTATTCCTGAACCTTTATTAACACTACTTGTAAAACACCAACACTGTCAATGCCACTTGCCTCTGCCTCCTATTAGCTTTAGATATCTCATGGCTGTTTCATACTAGATATCGCCTACATTTAGGAAGCAATAAGTAACCAACTTGAGAAGCAAGTTTGTAATTAATTCTCCAGCTGATCTTTTGCCCCTGCTTCAAAATTGCCCATTTTATAAACTGTGGAAAAAAAATATGGCTTAAACTTCCACCAAATTAACCTGTACCCTTTCCCTCAATAAAATATAAAACAAATACTAATCCCCTTTCAAAATATATCAAGAGTGCCCCAGCTGTGAACACAGATCCAGCGGCCTCGGCTATGCATGACGTACCAAGAGTCTCAACACAGGACAGTGGGTGCCTGGACCTTCGGCAAGATTTAAAGAGAAGCTACCCCATCAGGGCTGCCAGGAGGGGCCACCCTGCTCTTAACCCCCCATCCCAGTAAGAGGGAAGGGTCCTCCTTTCTTGCATGTTGTGCAGGATGGTGGGTAAGCTGGAAGGCATCAAAGCTGATCCAGGTAAGCTCAACAGACTTCAATATAATGCATTGTACTGAGGGACATATCTTTAGAAAAGGTAGGGAAAAATAGTGTATCAGCTGGAAATCCCCAGTCCCAAGGAGGATGTAAATGATTTAGCAGTATATGTACCTGGAACAAATTTATTCTTGGCTTCAGAAAAATCCAAGAAGTCTTGCTGTATTTGATAAATTTTTTAACAATACCTATATAAACTTGATCTCAGAAAACAGTAATATGGCTGTTATACAGTACTGCAGTTAAATCTTGTTTCTCCCTGCATTCAAAGCAGAACCCCCTTTAGGACACCAGCCATCCCATCTGACACTGCGTCTCCAGGCAACCCTCTTCTTTAGCTTCTGCTGAAGGTCCTGCACCCTAAAATCTATAGCCGAGGCCCACACTCCTTTTTTTACTTAATTTCTGGATTCTGTAGGCAACAGCAGGGGCTAAAGGCAGAGCAGTTCAGGCGCTGGCATAGGAAAAAAGTCTGCAGCAAATCTACACCATGAACATACCCACCAAGACTATAAATTTAGCATGCACACTGCAGAACGTAAGGAGGAAGGTAATTTATGGGTGTCTTGAAATGTCTCTTTAATTGTATGCCGCATGCTAAACAAAAATCATTAGGAAGTGTAACTTTTGCTCTAGACACGTGAAATAATCTTGCCCTTCAAATTATTGCATTTTCACATTTTTTGAACATAAAGAAATAAAAAGTAATTTTGCTGCAGACTTATTTCCTATATAAGATGGTTTTATTTTTCCTCATTCTCTTCAAATACAAAGACTTATCTAAAAATATACCCAACATCAAGCATTTAGCACCCGTAATTGAATGTTAAGATGGAAACATCAATCATATTAATTATGTAGGAAGGGTATGTTAGGAAGGAATTAGGGAAAGTGCAGGATAGGAAGAAACTTTAACTATATAGTTGTATTAGATCTTTGTATAAATTATACTTAAATTCTTCTTCTTTATCCTACAGCATCTTCATTACCAAATCAAAGGTCTCCCATGAGGTCTGCACTTTCACCACCACAGAGAAGTGGTACATTGGTCACCTATAGCACTACATCAGTAGAAGGGGATACAGAAGACCAAGAGTTGGAAAACCGAAGGTGCCAAGGAATGATTATCAATCCTTACCTAGAGCACTGGTCCCCAACAAAGGAGGAAGTGCGTGTATCACTCACTGTAGGGAGACAAATCAAGCAATCCTTCAGGCGTGTGTCTCCTGGACCTCTAGCCTCCTCCACAGAGGATCCTCTTTGTTATCTTTCTGCACATACAGGCTGGGGTGATGAAAGTGATTCAGACATTCCACCATCTGACAGGGTTCCTGAATCAGCAGAGTCTACACAGTCTGAGAGGGATGGAGGTAGTCAGCAAACAGAGATTGGCTCCTTGTCTGGTGGAATGGTTTGGCCCCTGATGCAAGACCATAGAAAAGATAACAATGGGGATGATGATCACCAATTGGCATCGTCTCAACGTAGTGAACACAGTTGTAATGAATCCCTTCTCTCTTCTGAGTATCCTGAGGGTGATCAGGCCTCCAGTGCCACAATGCCACGGAGACTTGGAAGGCCTCGAGCAAAAGATGATAGAAGAGCTCGATGGAGAGCTAGTCTTCATCGCCTGTTGCAGCTGGAGAAACTAAGAGACCAACTCTACCGTCAAGAGTTGGCCTTGAAAGAAGAAGAGATGACTCGCCAAAGGGAGGAGCGTGCAAGAGATAGAGAGCTTCACCGGCAGCTACTTGGTGTGCTTGGTGATATTCGAGATGAACTCAGAAAAAGAAGACAGGAAAGAGCAATTGCTCAAGAAGGTCAGGCTACTGAAGGCAGAGGCACGCCATGCAGTGGCACCACCACTACTGGCCGAAGGGCTCGTGGAGGACTAACACGTCCAAGAGGAACACGCATTTCTTCTGTATCAGCCACTTTGCCCTGTTCTTTTGCTCAGTTCTTTTTGCAGGATCCAAGAACTGGGTCTTCTATGCCAAGCACTATTGCCAGGGGCAGCAGCGAGAACCCCACCTGGGCTGGGAGCCGTCTCATTGGCCCCTTGCGCAGGAGGGGACAACCTCGCAGTCGTCCTCGAATCCATCCCAAACAAGTAATGGGGGATACCCATGGATAATGAAGAACTGGCCTTTTTCATGTTTTACAACAATAAAGGAAGTGTTGAAGAAAGATGTGTGTTTTTCTTTGCTATAAAAATAAATGAAATACAATGGTTTCAGAAATAAATGACAAATAACATAGTATACAAACTTTTATACATGTAGTCAAAATATAATTGTGATAAAAACAGAAATACATGCTTTAAAAAATTGCATGTTCTACTTATCTTTTTATAGCTGATGACGTTTAGTACATGCAATACGTTTTATATAATGTGTTTCTAACATGGGATTCTGATGCACTGTAACTAGTGCATTACAATGTTGACAATTTATTTTCGTGGAATTCAGTATAATATCCCTTGAAAAGTATACAATGATGACAGCTTTCTGTCTGAAGATTTTAAATGGTTTCTTTTTACAGCACACAGATGAATTACGTATTTTCTTGAAGATATCATTATTTTTATCACTGAAGTTTCAGATGTTGCAGGCAGGAGAAAAACAATACAATTTCTATAAATGTTATGAAAAATTGAAGCACCCATTGTGATGTTGTAGTCTAGATACATGTTCTGCAACAACCAGCTGTTGATGAGCGGGAGCAAATCCTAATCCTTTGTTTACATTTTACCAAGTCCACACACATTGTTCCCTATCCTGCAAAGCCCTGATTAAGGGGAGGAAAAGTTTATTCCCTGAAATATGTTGCCTATATGTACAGTTCTTTTTGACGTTTACATTGGAATACATTTGTATCTGGGCTAAAACATCATGGTATGGCAGGTACTTTAATTCTTCATTGACTCTTTCTACTCACATTCTAGGATGGCCTTATAATCCATTTGGGGTGTTGAAGCTGCTAGCCCAAAACCCTGATACCATACATCCACACTACCCCAATGCATTGGGTGGGCTTTAGAAAAGCCTCAGACCCAATACCATCTATCCACTCTACCTAAATAAATATAAAAAGGACAGTACCTAAATTGTCCACATTATTTCTTTTGTAGCACATTATGTGCTTGTGAATTACAGGTGAAATTTAACTATACTTGAGGGAAGACAGTATACAACAGTGATGCTGTCATAAATGAAATAAAGTATCATTAACTTGCCCATACTAATTCACTGGTTAAAGGCCTCTGAACAATGAGCTGCTAATTAAAGCCATATGCTAGAAAAAGATGGAGAGAATCAATAGGCATTGTGAGAAGGAAATGAGCTGGGCTAATCTGAATACTTTGACCTTTCAGAATGTTTTAGAAACTAGCAGATTAGCATACAGCTGTGTATCAATCCTCCAATCCATATCCCCACTGTCTGCAAGGCCATCCATATATTGGCTGTGGCCATTGCAAGCAGATGTTATTTACAATTATCTGTGGCATCCCAATACCCTTCAAAATATGTAGGTCTCTGTAACTTTCCTACATGGTATGATTCGTGTTACAGAACTGTACAGCACATAATTAAATTAAGAGACTTTTAACCACTTGAATTCCAGACTGTATTGCCAAAAACTGTTAAAAACTGTTTCCTTTACGTTCTGTTAAAATTAAAAAATGCCAAGTAAATACAAACTCCCCAAAATAACCCATTTTGGGAAAGTAGACATGCCAAGGTGATCTAACTTTTGCCACAATTTTTTTAAAATGAAGAACTATGATGGTATTGAGGAAGTTAAAACTTGGAGCTTGGTGATGGTGCACTAAATACATAAGTGTACAGGTCATAAACAGAGGCATAAGGTGGTGAACTGGTTAATGTACAGGCTACATACAGTGCATGGATGGAGAAGAAGGGGATAGGTGAGTTTACTGGTAGAGACTATAAGTGGTCATTTCAACATACATTACACAAGCATGGCCCAGTGTTGTCACCATCAGGAAACCCACCCTGAGAAATGCCATGCAAAAATCTTCATTGAGGGATCACTAAGTGTTACTTTAAAGAGCCCTGGTTCACACTGCTGTGACTTGTCATGCCTTTTGACAGTTTCAAATCGAATTACTAGTCTCACCTTATTGTCGGCAGTGTAACCGTTCAAATCTGTGGGACTCCGACTCCATCGGAATTGCACCAATTGTTGGCAATGAAACCATTCAATTCAGTGGGACTCTGAATCCATCGGAGTCTCACCAATTTTGAAAGTAGTTCCAGCACTATTTTTCTTGCGATTTCAGGTGAGAATTGCTTAGGCATTTGTGCATAAAGTTGCACAGATGTCTGTCAAGTCGCACCTGAAATCGCGCAACTTGAAGTGAATTTGCACTATTTCAAAGTCGGATCCAGTGTGAACCGGGACTGAAAGCTGCAAGTTTAAAAAAGATTAAAAATAACTTTGATAATTGCAATGTTAAATCCTAGATGAGGTTTTAGAGACTGAACTTAGATCTTTAAAGGCAAATATAAAATAGATATAGAAACCGATAAAGTGTTTATTCAAGTTTTATATTAATTGAAAATCATTAAATGTATTTTAAACATAGCCAATTTAAAGAATATGTAAATCCAACAATTCATATTCCCGATATGTGCCCTCTGTACCATGTACTTGTATGAAAAGTATCCTTTTTTTTTGTATTGCTTCCTTTGTGTGAAATCCCTGGTGTTCCTGCCAGTCCCTCTGCTTTCCTATTAAAAACTGAGCACACTAGGCATGAGAGCATAGCTTGGTCAGTTCTCTAGCTGTGCTGGAACTCAGCCTGTTGTCCTCCAATGATCAGACTTGTGCTGACACGCTTTATTTTGACAGAAGAGACTGTGTATGTATCTATGATAGATGTTTCTACCTGCCTGTCAGCTCTTTTTTCTGTAAGTGTACACTGAGCCATGCATGCACAGCTGAGTATACTGTCTCAGCATGATTTTGTGCCAGGACAAAGTAACCCCCAGGCCCATATGTTGGAGTTATGTCATTACAGCCAGACCAGTTAAGATGGCCGAAGACTCCAAACCCTGAAAAAGTCCGGGTGAAGGTGGAAGCACTGACAATATAGGGTAGTATGTACATCATAGCGCTGAAAGGGATTGCTTTGCTAAGTAAAGCTGGCCATACACGTATAGATTTATGTTCAAGGATTTTTGTTGCAAGGATATTCATTTGATTTTCTAATCCTTAGTGGGGTCAAATTGATGTTCATTTTCGACAGCAGCTATGGGAAAATTCGAAGGGGCTGGAAGGAACACTTTTCTTGATCAAACAAAGTTTTGGCCAGTGTATGTGGTTATCATTCATAAATTACATTCATTCATTTTAAAGTAAAATGTTACAAGCAAAAGGAAATTTTCGAACGACATTCGTCCATTCATCGAATGTTCAAAGAGTTTCCGTACAACTTTTCTTATGAATATTTTTGCCCAAAAATCTACACGGGTATGGCCAAGCTTAAGTGTGCGATAATGTGCAACTATGCTTTGCATAGTTGCACATTATGCCAAAAAGCTCCTGAAGACCTAAAATCTTTTTTTTTTGTTTTGGCGGCTTAAAGTGTTACTACATCCACAACAGTAAAATCAGTCTGTATATGCAGTAAAGCATGCTTGTTATACTCAATGTGGAACCTATGGGGCTAATCCTCTGCATTGTGTAAAAACGCTGTTTGATCCTGACTTCTCTGATTCTCCCATTCTTCCACTGCCCCCCTATTATCTCCTAATAAGACATATCGTGTGGATTCACTCTGCACATGCTCAGTTTGGTGTGTATTGCTAGTGAGGTTTTTCTTTTTTTCCTTGGGAGAGTGCATGTGATTAGCACAGGGCCAAACAGCACTGTCCAGACAGAGTTCATGGGTCCTGAATTCTCCTAGAGCAGAATGAAAACTCCTCCTACAAGCTTTAACTAGTGCTCTGCTGGACACTGATAGAAGTGACAAGACTGCTCTAACTGCTGATGAGAAAAAGTATTTAGCAGTTTATATTTACTAAAATAATTGCACTTCCATGGTCTGTGTACTGTGGGAGACCAGATAAAGTGAAAGTGGCCAAAATAAATGTGTGAAGGGGGCAGGCAAGATAATACTAAAGCCGGCCATACCTGAGTCGAATGCCAAAATAATTTTCTTTAGAAAATCTTTTCTAAGAATTTTTGTTTGCATTTCACACCATAAGTGACCATCAAATTTGAGTGATCAATCATGTTGGAAATTGCTTGAAAAACTAATGAATTTCTAATCAATGGTGGGAGAATTGTATCTGATAAAGTAATGAGCTGTAAATTTTTTGGCCACGAAAATCCTTTTTTGTAGCTACATGAGGTGAAATTAAAGGCTTGGATAGTTGAATTTTGAAATCAATGGTGGCACCATCGGATTACAAAATGCACGAAATTTCAGGTTTTCTAAAGAAATTGTGTTCAGAATTCGAACCCATGTATGGCCTGCATTAGTCAAAGCTTACAATCCTGCATCCTTCCCCCTATACAATCCTTTTAGCCCATCATTATAATGAGCTGTGCCACTGGCCAAAATAAATGTGAGGAGGGGGACAGGTGAGATAAACTAAAGCTGGCCATACCTGCGTCAAATTCCGAAAGAATTTTCTTTAGAAAATCTTTTCTAAGGATTTTTGTTCAAATTTCGCACCATTAGTGGGATAATTTTCGAGTGACCATCGAATTTGAGTGATCGAGCATGTTGGAAATCTTTTTAAAAATGTACGAATTTCTGATCAGTGGGACAATCGTGCAAGAAATGTATTTGAAAAAGAAATGAGCATGAGCTGTGACCTGGAAAAAAAAGTAAATTTGAGGCCACAAAAATTATTTTTTCTGTAGCTACATGAGGTGAAATTAAAGGCTTGGTCGGTTGAATTTTGAAATCAATGGTGGCACCATCAGATTACAAAATGCACAAAATTTCTGATTTTCTAAAGAAAATTGTTCGGAATTTGGTCCATGTATGGCCTGCATAAGGAAGTAACAAAGCTTTGTCCTATCAGAATGGCCTCACATTCTCTCAGTGTGTGAGGACTGAAACCTGTTGTGGTACATGCAGGTATGTCTAGGTACTTG